ACAGTATTAATATATGTAAAAAGTCATGTCCAGAATAGTGTCATGCTCTAGAGTCAGGCAAACCTGGGTTTGAACCTTGATTCTGCTGTTTACTATAATAGTTGTCTAATCTCGGATAAGTTATTCAATGTGACAGTCTCATTTTCTTTTTTTGTAAAATGAAAATAACAATAGTTATTGTTCATTGATCATTGGAATGTTGTAAGGATTCAATGAGATAATGTTAAGCATTAAGCACTGAGCATAGTGCTTGGCACACAATAAATGTTCAATAAATGTTTGCTTTTATTGACTACCATTAATCCTGATAGTCAACTATGCTTCCCCTATTTCTCTGAATAATTAAAAGTTGGCCGAACTACAGATCCCCAGTATTTGGAGCATGCAAATGATGGTGCTGGAAGGACTGCAACTAAGATGGCTCTCAAAAGGCAAATGTAATTTATATGTTGAAGCTGAAGTCAGAACATACCTTAGGAGTTTCATTACTAAAACACTCAACATCATAAAATAATGGGAGAGTAGAGGGGCAAGAAGGTTCCCTTAGGGGCAAAGTCCATGATTTTACACCATGTTTCTCTACAATAAGAAATCACATTCTTTACCAAAAGAAACAAATTCTCCAAAATTTGAATACAAAAGGGCTCTTCTAAAGAAAATCTCTGCATGGAAAAGAAGAGTAGTCTCTTTTCCAATTCTTTTCCCTCATATTTTCCCTTTTGCCTTAAGATTTCCCTCTTTTGCTTCTCTTTGCTGCTATTGCCTGTCGCAGCTCTACCTTTTAAACTTTGGCCCCAGTGTTACCAAAACCCCTTTTCCTTGTTTTCTAATAGAACAAATAAAATGGGTTATTATTTTCAAAGGGAAAATTTTAAGGGGAATCAAATTGCAAACAGCACAAAGTCAAATTTCTAAAGTATAAAATTTCTGATCCCAGTCCTAGTAAAGCAGCATATATCTTCAGGGAACCCATATCCCTTTATCCATCCAGTTCCTGATAAAGTGGAACAACTTTGCAGTCTCCTTTGGCTGATTTCCCTTCCTCCTAGCTCTTTGGGGAGTCCCATAAAAGCCTCAGTCTTGCCCCCTCCCTGGCACCCAAAAGAGAATCTACCATATTGTCCTTTCTGAGGGCACAACACTCCCCACAACATGTGGCTGAAATCATCAATGCCCGAGCAACTGTCCAATGGAATCTTCTGTGATAATGAAAATCTCTCTGCACTAGTAGCCACTAGACATATGTGGCTATTAAGCATTGAAAATATAGCTAGTGTGACTAAGGGAATTTTATTTGGTTTTTATTAATTTAAATCTTAAGTAGCCACTTGTGGTTGGTGACTATTATTGGACAGAGCAACTTTAGACCTCTTCCACTCAATTCCTGTGTTTAGTCTAAGCATCACACTTTGTTCATAGTTCATTCAAAAGGTAATGACAGGCCAGGTGTGGTGGCTCACACCTGTAATCCTAGTACTTTGGGAGGCCAAGAAGGGAGGATTGCTTGAAGCCAGTAGTTTGAGACCAGGCTGAGTAAGAGCTATACCCCATCTCTACAAAAAATAGAAAAATTAGCTGGGCATGGTGGCATGCACCTGTAGTCCCAGCTACTTGGGAAGCTGAGGCAGGAGGATCATTTGAGCCCAGGAGTTTGAGGTTGCAGTGAGCTATGATGATGCCACTGCACTCTAGCCAGGGCGAAACAATGAGACCCTGTCTCAAAAAAAAAAAAAAAAAAGTCTGTGACACCCATTTGAAACAAAAGAATGATCTATCTCTGCCACGCCTGAACTATCGGTTTATCAGCTTCACTTACTTTTGGAATATTTAGTGATGACTTACAGGCACAGGAAAAAGGGTTTGTCAAATTAGTTTCCTCCCATAAAGACCATATTAATACTTAAGTCATACATAAAATCACACATATTTGAGGTAAAGAAGGATGCATTCTTTCATACTTGCACTTAGTGTGTCTTGTCTTGAAGATAAGGGGAAAAAAGTACCTTACCTTTTCTCCCCAGAGGCCTGTGTAGAGTAGGCACTGAGACTCCTTTCCACTCTGTATAATTCTAGCAGATCCAGCTCAGTCCTGAGATAACCCAGTGTTGGGGACAACTTAAAGGCTTTATTAACTGTGGTTTAAAAGGCACTCTCCATACATTCAAGTTCCCTGCTTCCAAGCAATCTCTACTTTAAAGCTGGTTTGGCACATGAAAACAAAATATAAAAGCTTGTCTGTGCTTCCTTTTGAGAAAGAATCTAGAGAGATGTAAAACCAGTTCCAGCCCAGTCATTCTTGCCTCAAAAAGTTCTACATCTTACATTTTTCATCTTACATCTTACACATTTTTAGAGAAGTCAGAGATTCTGTTGTCCTGTCTTGGAGCACTGAATTTCCTATATGGTATAATTTAGAATATAGCTACCAAAGCCTTTGGCACTTAGCACACTGTTTTATGGGTAATTGTTTTTGCTTCTGCCTCCTCACTAGACTTTTCATCCTTTCATTTATCCAGCAAATACTGAGCACCTACTCTGTGCCACACCCTGTTCTAGATGTTGGGAACAAAGCAGAGAACAGGACAGACAAGGTCCCCCATGAAACTTAGTCTCTAGTAGGGGAGGCTGATAATAAACGTGTAAAAAATATGCAAGATAATTTCAGATAGTGATAAGTGTTACGAAGAAAATAAAAATAGGGTAATGTTACTTTGGGAGGCCAAGGCTGGAGGGTTGCTTGAGCCCAAGAGTTTGAGGTTGCAGTGAGCTATGATGATGCCGCTGCACTCTAGTCCAGGTGACAGAGCGAGACCCTGTCTCAAAAAAAAAAAAAAAAAATAGGGTAATATGATCAACTGATGAGGAATCTCTTTAGACCTTATGGTCAAGAAAGGCCTCAGAAGAAAAGTTTGAGCTGACTTCTGAATACAAAGTTGCCAGCTGGGCAAAGCCAAGAACAGCCTAGGGTGGCAGCAGATAGAAAGTCTCTGTTTACCACTAGAGCAGGTTCTTTCTTTCCTTTTGATAATGGTATTCTTAGTGCTTAACATAATACTTGGCTTTGAAGAATAATAACAACACTATCAACAAGTAACATTTTTTAGCACAAATAAATATACTAAACGTTTAGTTGAATTATCTTGGTTAATTCTCACAAGACACAAGCCAGAGGAAGAAATTAAGAGATACTAAATAACTTGCCCAAGGGCATACAATGTATAAGAGGCAAAGCAAAGACTGACCTTAACACAAATTTCTGACTCCAGAATGTATGCTTCTAATTAACCAGTGAGTCTCACTGAGCGCCAGCATCTGCATTGCTTCCTAAAAATGCAGCTTTCTAGCATCAAGCCAAACCAGCTGAATTAGCATCTCAGAGGGTAGGGATTGGAAATCTGATTTTTTTTTTTTTGGAGACAGAATCACGTTCTCTCACCCCAGCTAGAATGCAGTGGCAACATCATAGCTCACTGCAATCTCAAACTCCTGGGCTCAAGCAATCCTCCTGCCTCAGCCTCCTGAGTAGCTGGGACTATAGCTGCAAGCCATCACACCTGCCTAATTTTTTCTATTTTTAGTAGAGACGGGGTCTCACTCTTGCTTAGGCTGGTCTCAAACTCCTGAGCTCAAGTGATCCTCCCTCCGTGGCCTCCCAGAGTGCTAGAATTACAGGCATGAGCCACTGCACGCCCCCGCCGGGAAACTGAATTTTTAACAAGCCCTCCAGATGATTCTTATGCACACTGAAGTTTGGGACCACTGTGCTTTGTTGAAAGAATAAACGGAACAGACAAGTCCTCTGCTATTTGTACCACTTTGCCCCACATCTTGCAAATTCCTAAGCCCCTAAACTATAAATACCAGTTCTCTTAAACTAAGTCTTTATAATGACCAGCTTAATACTGTGTTACAAACAGGAAGAAATCTCAGAATATTTTGGGTCCAGCAGGAAGGCTAAAAAGATAAACCCCTCTGCACCGGCATTCTCCCATCCATCCTCCACCACCCCCTAGCCTGGTTTTAACTTAACCGAGGGGATGATCTAAAATCAGAGAGCTCCAGGGACATGAGGCACCATTTACCAGTTCAAGTAAATTCTACAGCCAGACTCAAGATTTGACTCCTCTGCAGAGCAAGCCTGAAGTGCACTCAGGAACTCTGAGCTCTGAGCCAGCCACTTTACCTCCTGTGTCCCCACACCCACCTATCTAAAGCAGACCCAGCCAGGTTCAGGTGCAATCCTCCACACTGAAGGAGATCTGGGGTTAAGCTACATTTTCCCTGGAAACTAGGTTGGGGCCAGACTCAACCTCAAAGTAGAGGAATGCCCTTTTTGGCATATGTTGCATAGGTTTAGGGTTGCCAGATAAAATACAGGATACCCAGTTATGCCTCAAATATTGCATGGCACATACTTATTCAGAAAAATTATTTGTTATTTATCTGAAATTTAAATTTAACTAGGCATCCTGTTTTTTATTTTTGATATCTGGCGACTAGGCTCTTTGTAGGAGCATTCAACCAAAGGTATTGTCTCCACAAACATCTTAAGCATCCAATTAGAAGGAACACCAACAAGGGGAGATTTCAGCGGGAGAGAGCTGTAACAGGAAACCCAAAGAGTGTGTGTGAGCATGTGCAGGGGTAGTTCTGCCACTTTTTAATTATGAGAGAACGGAGTGCTGATGGAGCTCTTGTGAAGAAACTGGGGTTTTTAGCACTACTCACCTCCTTCACTGTCCCCCCAAATGTGTGACCAGGATTACTGTCCTATTTTATAAGACCCCCAGAGACATCTCCGGTTGGACATGACATGCCAATACTCGAAAACCTAGCAAGAAGGGCCCCACTAGCTCAAACCAATTTGTCGAGTTCCATCTGCCAGCGGCCACCCTGCAGCCAGGCCCCACTCAGAGCGACCCGGCGCCTGGAGCCCCGCCTCCCCGCCCAGAGGCGGCGCTGGCCACGCCCCTTTTGTTATCCGATACTTTTCTGGGTCAGCTGGTGCTGGCGTCAAGCGGAGGGATGGGCTGGCTCTGCTTGACCCGGCAGGGCTTGTTTACTATGGCTGATGATCTGGAGCAGCAGTGAGTTAATTCTGTCTCTCTCTTTTCTCTCTCCCTCTCTCTGGGCCATGATCCTGGGACTGTCTGTGGCAGAGGAACTGTTTTAGACACCTTCCCGCCTTTCCTTTTTCAGGTCGGCTTCCGGGGAGGACTGGGGGTTGCGTTTGCTTGCTTTGCTTTTTGCTCAGAAGAGGCGGCCGCAGAGCCTGGGGAACGATGGTAGATGAGCTTGCCTGCAGCTCAGTCATTCTGACTTTGCACGTTAGTCTTCGCGATTGCCCCTCGCTCTCCTCTAGTCGCTGTGCTCAGAGATTAGATTTAGTGGTAATGTGTGAGATCCCCCGAAAGCAAGCTTGTGGGACGCGGGTGCGGGAGTAGCAGCCAGGTGGGCTCGTCTCGACCTGCCCGGGTCGGTAGTCGTGGGTGTGGAAAGAGCCTCTTCCCTCAGCCCGGCAAAGAGAAGGCGCAGGCAGAAGGCAGAGGTCTCCACCGCGTTAGGATTGGCGTGGAGTGATGGGCTTTCAAGTTTCTTTAGCTCTTGCCCACCGAGACACATAACCGCTTGTGGTCCTAGTTGATAATGGTTTTAATCATTATAACAACATCCTTAATGCAGTGGTTTCGGAATTAGAGCTATTGAGATTTGTTACCCCTGTCTCAAGGGCATCGGGTTTGGGATGCCACCTGTAGGTGGTGTAACTAGCAGTTCGAAATCTGATAGGAGCAAGGAAAAGTTGTTTCTAGAAGAATGACTCAGCTCCCAGCCAAGCCCTGGTTTCACCAGAAGGGGCCTTTCCTGGACCTGGTACCCCCCCTTTCAGACCTGCAGAACTGACATCCTGCAAAACTGATTATGACAATAATAAATAACTTCCTAGGCTTGAAAGAACTGCCCAGAAGAATGTTGCCTTCTAAGATAACTTTTCCAAGGGGAAATTTGCAATGCCTAAAATGACTTAATGAAGCAGAATATTAGAGCTGGAAGAGATGCAGGCAGTTCAGCTCCTTTTTACAAATGAAGAAGCTGATATCCATAGCAATTAGGAGATTTGCCCAAGATCACAGAGGTCTAGAACAGGATCCTCTCCCAGTACAAAACCCCCTCTGTTTCACCCCCATCCGGATGGAAGAGAACACCCTAGCCAAGCTAAGTTCATGGCTAAGTGGCCTCTCTGCTCCTTGCCTCAGTTTCCCACCCCATCCCCTCCTCCCCAATAGTATTGCGCATACACAGTGTGCCAGGCGCCATTTCCAGTGCTTTACCTGTAACGTTTTTGCAGAAGAATGGCGAAGTACACCCCCTGCCCAAGGAATATCTGCTGAGCAGCCCATGATACTATTCCATGAGACAGCATTTCTCCTCCAATGCATTGGGCAGTTACAGAGCAATGTGGTATCCAGATGTTATGATCCGACTTGTCACAGTATCTATGATTCAGAGAGAAAGTTTGTCTCTTAACACTGGCAAAATTCCAACCCCAGGTCTTGGTCCCCATACTTCAAGCCTATGAGGAATCCCAGTAGAGTATTAAAAGGGTTCTGAGTCTCTCTGGAATTAGATTGATTGAGACTCGTTTAGCTAAAGCCATCAATGTATCACTCCCAGCTGCAATCCCAGTTTTTCTTTCAGATTTCAAATATTCACTGAGAGTTGCTACTTGCAAAACACTGGGAATGTAGACAGCTTATAATTTAGCTGGGGGGAAATAAAGTTTATTGGAAGTTTATCTTATGCTAGGCATCATTCTATGTGCTTTAGATGCACTAACTTGTTTAATCCTTATAACAACCCTATGAGGACCTCCCTTTTAAAGATGAGGAAGCTCTGACACAGAAAGGCTAAATAATGTGCCCACAGTCACATTGCTGGTAACAGGCAGTGCTAAAATTAGAACTCTGGCTTTAGATCACACCTCCCTTCAGAAAAAAGAGATAAGTATGAAAATGTGGTTAAATACTGTGCATATTTATGTATGGCCTTGAAAGGCTGAGGCTGGAAGGTCCATGGAGGAGATGCTGAGAAATCTGGATTTGAGAGCTGGGTTCGCATTCTGGTTTTTTTTCTAACTTGCTGTATTACCTCTCTGGGCATTAGTTTGCTCATCTGTAAAATGAAGAGCTGGACTGGATGATTTCTAAGGAAACTTCCTAATCTAAAATTCTGTACTTCAAATGATGTAGTAGGATGCCCAGTATGTGCTAAGGGGGTTTGGCAATGGTTCCCCTCATTTCCCCACAAAATGCCCCTGCCTTGACTATGCTGGTGTTCACAGGTCCTTCCTATAGCTGTTGATGTCTGTCCTGTAACCCCTTTCACCCAGGCAGAGTTCAAGAAAAGAGAAATATCATATAGGATGGAAAAGAAATAATAAAAACTGTCATTTATTGAGCATGTAAGTAGTTCTGGGCACCTTACAGGGTCCCTTAAATATCCACATGCTCGAAGACAGGTTTTTTAATGGGCCAAAGCTCGTCAATGATAGTACTGTGATTCAGATCCAGGAGGTTTTTTTATTCCAAAGCTGGTGCTTTTAATCTCTGTCTTGCAATGACTTAAAGTCACTGGGTATGAAGGAGAAAGCAGTATGGGTTATCCTATCTGTTTTACTGCATGGTATGGGAAGTGAGGACATGGGTGAACTTTCTACTACTCATTTTACAATCTGGAAAACAAGGGCAGAGGCAACCTGCATCCTATCAGTGAGTCATAGCAGGACTTGAACCCAGGTCTGCCACCTCCTGCTCCCTGCCTACCCATCTCCATGTTAAGGGCTGGATGGATTGATTACCTGAGAGCTCAGGTAATCTGGGCACTGACACAATGCTCCATATTTCTAGGGGCTTGGAAGAGGGTACACACAAACACCAGTGCCCTGCCAGGAGGGAAGGTGGTATGGGAATTTGTCTGTCCTACCCTAAAGGAACAGCTAGTCCTGGGGATGGCAAACTAACTGAAACATTAATTTCTTGTCCTCCCCTTTTAATCTCCTTGAACATAAATTATGATAACCAGTAACAAAGCGAAGTTGTAAAGCTCAAGTGAGATAATAAATGTAAAAGAGCTTTGTAAACTGTAAAGTATTTGTACACATGATGCTCTGACTATCCTTTGCAACAAGGGTCATGTTGTTAATAACCACGTACAAGAGAAGAATAACATTCTATCTAAGGCAGCTAGGGAATTGCTGACTGCCATAGTGGGCAGGTCTCCTGAGGCTGGGAAACATCCTGCCTCCTGATAACTCTTGTAACTGTCAGCAAGGCTGAGAGCATCAATGTTTCCTTGTCAATGTTGCCAATGAGTGTCTCTGTGTCTCCTCATCCCAGGCCTCAAGGCTGGCTGAGTAGCTGGCTGCCTACTTGGCGCCCCACTTCCATGTCTCAGCTGAAGAATGTGGAATCCAGGATCCTCCAGTGTAAGTAGAAGGGACAGCTTGTCCCACCTCCCTCAGGGGCCCAAGAAGGGTGCAGGATCTTCCCAGAGCCAGGTACACTGAACCCACTGATTCCTGATTAACTGTGCTTTGGGTGGGGGGAAACGATGTCAGTGATTTGAGGGAAGAGATTCACACAGAGGGCACGATATTCTGTGATAGTGGTTTCTTACCTTCTCCCCAGCCATATGCTAGTTCCTGCCACATCCTACAGCTTCACCTCAAACTCTATACCAATGTGGGTTAACACACACAGACATACACGTTCTCCTCCTCCCTCCTTCTCTCCCATTTCTCTCTCTTTCCTTCTCTCCCTCTCTGTTCTAAACACACAAACACTTCTTAGATTTACCACCTGCCTACCCAAGGGCCAGCAATCCTACATTCTCTAATGTGCCCTATGTTCCACCTCGTTTTAGCCCACCACCTGTCTGGTCACCACAGTAGTTTGGGATTTGCAGACCAATTCCCATGGGCACTGTTGCTTTGGGGCAGGGCGTCCCATGAACAGTAACAGCTCAAACAAGACCCATGGGCCACGCCTCCCCATATTTCCCATATGATCTTCCCCAACTGCCCCAGCCACGGCCACCCTTGCTCTTATAGGCCTGAGTCAGAGCAGACGCAGAACAGCCATAGCTTTCAAGCCTCTGCCCAGCATCTAAGGTAGCTCTGCCACGTGACTGCCGTGGCACCAGCAGAGCAAGCGCTGTCCACCTCAGTCTCTAAGAGGAATAAGCCCGAGGCCCAGCACATACCCATTACGTTCTCCACCTGGCTGGACCCCAGTTCTGTCCATCTGTCAAGCTCCAAGCACAAACAAGTTCAAGAGCATTGGACATAAGAGTTCTGTGGAGTGTCACTGCCACCGTGGGCCCAAAGGGAGCTGGACAAACAGCCTCCAGGAATAAGATGGCCTTCATTACCTACAGACTAATCTACAAATTGTGCTTGGAGTTGAATTCTCTAGGATGTGTAGTGTCAAAGAAAAAATTCTTTTGACACATTAAGTTGGTCCTTACCAAGACTATTCAAGACTATTGTAGTAGGGGAGAGAGATGGGGCTCAACTCCAAATACAAGGACAAGTGGGGACTTATAACCAAGGAGCAGGGTGAGAGGGTCAGTGGATAGGGAAGTACTGAGAGGAGACATCAAGGATAAGGGGGTTCTTGCTAAATGGACTTAACAGGATTCTTGCTGAAGAAAGGTCAAGGACTTACACATCAAAGGTGGGGGAGGAGCTGCTTGCTCAGAAATGAAGGGTGAGGGGATTCTTGCTAAGGTTGGGCTAGGCATGCCGGAGGCAGGATGGGGACAGGGGCCAGGCCTTGTCAAGAAGAGGGCTCAGAAGAGCTCACCTAAAGTGTGGTCAAGGAGAGAGTGTTGTCAGTGGTCAGAGTTGTGGCAGGAAAGAGCCAAGGGAGTGTGAGAAGGGTCTTGGAATGGAGAGAGACATCAGAAGCATGTAGTCCAGGCAGAATGACGGCCATCGGGAAGCAGTCTTGTTGATTCACCCTGGGATTCTCCCCATCCCAGGTCTCCAGAACAAGTTCCTGGCCAGATACATTTCCCTCCCAAACCAGAACAAGATCTGGACGGTGACCGTGAGCCCCGAGCAAAAGGATCGCACGCCCCTGGTGATGGTGCATGGCTTCGGGGGTGGCGTGGGCCTCTGGATCCTCAACATGGATTCGCTGAGTGCCCGCCGCACGCTTCACACCTTCGACCTGCTTGGCTTCGGGCGAAGCTCAAGGCCGACGTTCCCGAGGGACCCAGAGGGGGCTGAGGACGAGTTTGTGACCTCGATAGAGACATGGCGGGAGACCATGGGGATCCCCAACATGATACTCCTGGGGCACAGTTTGGGAGGATTCTTGGCCACTTCTTACTCTATCAAGTACCCTGAAAGGTAATGAGCCACCTGCCCTTGTGACCTAACTCCTTGCCTTACCGGGAACTTTCCAGTATTCTTGTCTAATAATTCTCTCCTTCCTAGGTGATTGAAAGGCTCTGATACTTCCAAGAGAATACAATGTATCTTCTCTTCTTTCCTCCTTTAATGCAGGGTAAAACACCTCATCCTGGTGGACCCATGGGGCTTTCCCCTTCGACCGACCGACCCCAATGAGGTCCGTGCTCTCCCAACGTGGGTCAAGGCCGTGGCATCTGTCCTAGGGCGTTCCAATCCTTTGGCTGTTCTTCGAGTAGCTGGGCCCTGGGGTGAGTAGCCTGCAGATGAGGAAACTATTCCCTTAAATTAAGTCTGTCCCATTCTGGAAGCCCCACTGTGTCTGCCCCACTTATTCATAGAAAGTGAGAGTGGGCCTAGCATTATTATTTAAAGCTATTCATCTGAACCAGATCTCTTTGTTTGAGGTTTCAGAAGGTTCTTTTCCCCCCTTCAACTGCATGGAAAAAACTTTCCTATGCAAGGAACAGATGGAGCAGGACAGCTACCCCATGCCTTGGCTAGACCCCCAGAGAGAGGAGGAGGCTGCGAGGGGGGCTGTGAAGCGATGCTTCCCTGCTACATATGTGAGTCTTTATGACAACCTGTTGGTGATTCAGGCACAGTAACCACCACTGGATCCCATCCTCGTGGGTCACCCAGCGCCTGCAGCAGGCAGGGGCAGGACCAGAGCCTCCAACATAGCCCACCATGGCAGGGAAGCCCCTCTGAATCATGCCCTGCTCCAGGCAAGCACCACATCTTCACCTGCTCTGTTTTGCCTAGCACTTAGTAGCCTTCTGCAAATTCTGGGGGTAAAAGGGGAAGGAAAAAGGGTAGGGGCAGGAGGAGCCAGCCATAATGAACAGTGTCAGTAGCTCTGGCTTTCTGGCCTCACACTGCCAGCACCCCTCCCTTCTGGGGAGCTTATAACTCTGATGCAGTGAGAAGTAGATTCCCTTCATGGAAAATCTTGGTGACCCCCATCTTATACTGATGGCTTATATTTACATAGTAATGTTCAATAGCCAATTATTATGAGTTAATTGCTCATAGCGAAAGAAGAGTTCTCTCTCTCTAGGCCCTTGAATTAAAACAGAATGGCTCCAGATAAAGAAAAAAAAATTGAGCATTTGAGTAGAAGGTAGGTGTTCAGGAGTTCTGAGAGAAAGGAAGGCTCACAAGAGACAAAGGTGGAAAGGACAGAAAGTGAGCAGAGGGCTGACCTTCTCAGGTTCCCAGCACTGTGGACTCCAACAGAGCCTCTACAGTCCTTTTCCAAGGAGAAGCCCTGCTCAAGCCACTCTCATTTTCTGGCCGTGCATCTGGCCAGGTTCCTGCATGGGCATCAGAGGTATTATGGCAGGCAACCATGGGGGACTGTACCAGGAGGGAGGGCCAGCACCCATAGAGATCTTTGCTGCACCTCGCTCTCACCCCTTTACTGCTTACACAGAGAATACCAGAAGAGAGACATCAGAAGTTGACCAGTAGGCCTAATTTTTACAGTCTGTTTTTGCTTGTATATATACCATAAAGAAAGGTGAAAGGAACAGATTGTTCTAAAAGAGTGCTCTGAGTCTGAGACCCCAGTGTTGTTGAGTTCACCTTTCCATGTATTCTATTACAGGCTTGAACATGAGAGGGCTCGTGGGAGGTGGTCTAGTTTCATCCGCTACCATCAGAAGATTAGAAGGCTACAGGGTTTCAGGGAGGAAAAGGACACAGGCTGTGAAAGAAGAGCATCTCAACTATGCACTCAGGAAGGCTTGTGATCCTTGCAGGGAAAGATCTTGGGACTTCATTGAGCCGAAAATAACCTGGTTCCTCAGTGATGTTAGACTGTCTCTAAATTCTTTGGCAACCAACTGCCATTTGAAGTCTTCCCCGTAGACTCCCGTACTCTTTCTGCCACTGTAATATTAAATGTATAAGGCAAACAAACCCTTAGGAGAAATACCGTTTGGTTAAAGTTGTTAAAACATACACGGGCAGGAGTCTTGTTGCCCCTGATCCCCACCCAAATTGGCCACTCTGGGTTTTTCTATTCCCTCCCAGGGCCTGGCCTGGTGCAGCGATTCCGGCCGGACTTCAAGCGCAAGTTTGCGGACTTCTTTGAAGATGACACCATATCAGAGTATATCTACCACTGCAATGCACAGAATCCCAGGTGAGGGAAGCTCCAAGGCTAGCTTGGGGTGGATGGTTTGGAGATAAACTCGCTACTGGAGTTCTGTGTTTTATTTTTTCTTTCACAAAGCTCTGGCTCAGGGGAACACAGGCACTAATAGGCTAGATCATTTCCAGAGAGTTCCCCAGGGATAGACACAAAGGAATATAGAAGATAGTAGATTAATTAAACATGTTGTCCATCTCTAGAGGAAGGTCCTCCCTCTTCCCTACAGATAGGCAGTAGCCTGATGGGTAAAAGTCTGGAAAACATTTTAAAAGATCTTTTTTGAAAACTGAAAAAGTGACAAAAACATGGTATTTTTTTAAGGGAAAAGAAAGAAAGAAGTCTTCCGTCCCAAACCTGCAGTCCCCAAATTTCCTTATAATTTCCAGTCTAGGATACCATGAGCCATTGCTTCAGAAGGCCTCCTTGCACTTCCTGCTTTGCACACACATGTGACTGTATCTGCAGAACACGTTCCTGCAAAGAGAATTGCTCAGTGCAGGAGCACACATTTTAAAATTAATCGTGCACTTTGAAATGACTTATCATTGGGACAGAAATTCTTTTGTATCTTTTGGAGATTTGAAGGTGTCCCTGGAACATTGCGAAGTTCTTGTCTGTGGCTTCTCACTTACACAGCAGGCCCCACAGCCTGTCAATCTTCAGTCTTGGCAACACTGAAGGCCAGGGCAGAGCCAGGGAGGTAATCTTCCCCTACGGCAGTGCCCTGTGAGTGACTGATAGCATGAGGTTGCATTGGTGGAACCGCCTCTGTGAAGGCCTCACCTCGAGCTGCTGGGAGGAATCTCAGGGAGCCAAAGTCATTGCCCCACCTCTTTCCAGCCTTGTCTGAGTCACCTGTTGTGGGCCAAAGCCATGAGGAAAGTGGGATTTGCATTCCAGCAGCACTGTTTGAGCATTAGTCTCAAACCCAGACAGCTTTGGGGCAGCGTGGCACCTGTGTGTCCAGCATTGCGCACGAGCTAGCTAATGGAAGGGCCCAAGTTAGGCAGTAGTATAGAAACTCTGCTCAACAGTCAAACTGGTTACCCCCAGCTTCCTACTCTCAGCTCCTCTCTCAGCCCCCATGGGCTCAGTGTTAGCCTCGTACCCACTCGGGGCCTCACAGGCCTAACCCCAGAACTTTCCTCATCCCTGACCTAGTTCTGTACAGCGGCCTCCCAATCTAAGCCACAGAGTGTATAATCCTGCAACTCGTTCATGTCCAGGAGGAAGCAAAGATGACATCAATGGTCACCAGCTCTCTCACCCCCAACACCATCACTCAATTTTGTGACCACCTGTGTTTTTAGAGTTGTAACCCTGACAAGCTCATAGGAAATTTTATCATTCTCTTGGAAAACATGAAATTTGGCAAAAGGGAAAAATGTTTGAGGGTTACCTACTTCTCTTCACCTAAACTTAGGGGCTTTGTGTATATTTTCATTTTTCTAATCATGATTTAATGAAATGGGTATAATATTCCAATTTGCAAGTGAGAAAATTAAGGTATATTCTGGTTACGTGGCTTGCTAAGAAAACATGGCCAAGGATTTGAATTTGTGTGTATCTGACTCCAAATTCCATGATTTTTCTACCATGCTGCAGTATCTTAAGGAAAAATTATCCATTTTTGGTGGCCTGGGCAGAACTCAGGCTCCCCTTCATCCCTGGGGTGCAAAGGAGAGTGTAGATATAACTCCCCCAGACAGGCCCAGCCTAGGAGGCTGCAGTGTCCCCAGCTTCCCCCGTCTCCCACAGAAGCTACAGACCAGCCAGAGAGCTGGCTCCTGTGCCAGCCTTGCAGACACCTCATGATACAGCCTCAATTAGTCCTACCTGAGGAAATGACCAGAGAGTAAGGTAGATTAAATCAGCATTTGTTGCTTTTTACTTAACAGAAACTACTGCTCCCCCGGTCCTTGTAAGACTGATTTTTAATACCAGCGTCTTCTTTTTTTTTTGAGACAGAGTCTCTCACTGTGTTGCCCGGGCTAGAGTGCCGTGGCGTCAGCCTAGCTCACAGCAACCTCAAACTCCTGGGCTCAAGCGATCCTTCTGCCTCAGCCTCCCAGGTAGCTGGGACTACAGGCATGCGCCACCATGCCCAGCTGATTTTTTCTATGTATTTTTAGTTGTCCGATTAATTTCTTTCTATTTTTAGTAGAGACGGGGTCTCGCTCTTGCTCAGGCTGGTTTCGAACTCCTGAGCTCAAACAATCCGCCCGCTTCGGCCTCCCAGAGAGCTAGGATTATAGGCGTGAGCCACCGCGCCCGGCCTATACCAGCGTCTTCTTAGGAAGCCTTTTTACTACTCTGGCATCCCCTTCAGAGTTCACCTCAAATGGACTCCTTGACGCTCTCCCTCAGCCCAGCAGGCCAAGTCCCCAGTCTGTGTTCCTGTAGCACTCAACCACCTTTTCATCCTTCTTGGGAAATTTTAAGTTAAATAATTAATCATATGATTAGCTATTTAATGCCTACTTACCTAAAATTGGGGCTCCAGGAGGGCCAGCACCCCATCTGTCTCATTCACATGTCCCCTCACTCAGCCCAGTGTGTGACACATAAATATTTGTTGAATAAATAATAATTCACTCCATTTCTGGATGATTCTTAGTGCCTTGGACTTTTTCACAAGTGTGTCCCTCCTAAGCCTTCTGTGCTAGGAGACCTCTGGTGTTACGGTCCTCTCCTAATCTTACCAATATTTAATGAGCCCAGTGCCGGGCTTTGAGAGGAATGCAAAGATGACTGAGATACTGCCCAGCCTCTGGAGAGACCAACAAGTTGCCATGTTCTACTGCATGTTTATTCTGTTAATCACCTTACCTGGTTCTGCTTCCGGCAGTGGTGAGACGGCATTCAAAGCCATGATGGAGTCCTTCGGCTGGGCCCGGCGCCCCATGCTGGAGCGTATTCACTTGATTCGGAAGGATGTGCCCATCACCATGATCTATGGGGCCAACACCTGGATAGATACCAGCACAGGAAAAAAGGTGAAGTTGCAGCGACCGGATTCCTACGTCCGAGACCTGGTAGGTTGGTCACCCAAGGAGCGGGAGTTGAGGAAGTGCTGGGAATTGAATGCCACACATGTTGGTTGCCTCTCCGTCAGTCAGCTCTCAGCCTTGGGGTAGAGAAGGGGGATCAGAGAGTCAGGGGAAAGAGAAATGGACACAGATAGGGCAGTGGGTTGGGAAAGTTTGACTGTCTTTGTAATATCCTAATTCTTCGTAGCCCAGTTCAGCTGAAAGGCAGATTCTTGTCCAGAAGCTGCCCTCCAGCACCTCTGTAATTCCTACCCAAGGCCAGAGCCTCGAGGCCTTCCTGCCACACTCTGCCTGCCTTTTTTTCTTATGCTCCCCACCCCTTATTTGCCAGTGAGCATGCTTAATTACACTAGGTGTCCCCCGGGGGCCCCCGTTTACTGGGCCTTTGGATGAAATGAGCAGATCAGTGGTGCTAACGTGGAAGGAGAGATCCGGTGAATGTCCACAGAAGTAGAATGGGATATTGGGATTCATTGGCTCCCAAAGGAAGGTACTGAGATTCACAAAGAAAGGTGGAGCATTGTTTTTGATAAGAGCTTGTGGGTGGCAGCAAGCGGTGTAAGGAGAAAAGAAATGGTGAGTGAAGGGCCGTCTCACCCCTGGCGGGTCCTCTCTCCACAGGAGATTGAGGGTGCGTCGCACCACGTCTATGCCGACCAGCCACACATCTTCAATGCCGTGGTGGAGGAGATCTGCAGCTCGGTGGATTGAACTGCTCTCTCTAGAGGAAGAGGAGAAAGCCAGAGAGTCACTCTCGCCTCCCTGTCTGCTTACTCGCCCTTCTGTCCTTTCCTCACCAACTAATACGTGCCAGCCTGGCAGAGCCTTGGGCTGTCCCCGGGACAGGACCACAGTGACAAAGAGCACCCCTGACCCCATGCTAAGGGCTGGAGGTGGAGCCACAAGAGGCCTTGAGTGCCCCACCCTGGGGAAGAACATAAAGGGTTGCACAGTGTCACCCATTCTCTCCATGCCAAGTGTTGCCTAGATAGTGGTTGTGAAGGATTGTACTGAGCTACATTCCCTCCCTGTGCGGCCTTTTCTTTCTCTGGGTAAAGGAGGACTCCCAGCCACCTTTCCTGGCTCTAGAGTGTTTGTGGGGGTAGGTTCCGTGCAAGAACATCTTCCGCCTCCATCATTCCATTACCCCCATCCCATGCCAGTTCCATCCAGGGTCTGGCTGGGACTGGTTCCCACTTAACTACCAAGAGCAGGTGCTAGGCCGGGTGCAGTGGCTCACGCCTGTAATCCTAGCACTCTGGGAGGCCGAGGCGGGCAGATCGTTCTGAGCTCAGGAGTTTGAGACCAGCCTGAGCAAGAGCGAGACCCCGTCTCTACCAAAAATAGAAAGAAATTAATTGGACAGCTAAAAATACATATAGAAAAAGTTAGCCGGGCATGGTGGCGCATGCCTGTGGTCCCAGCTACTCAGGAGGCTGAGACAGTAGGATTGCTTGAGCCCAGGAGTTTGAGGTTGCTGTGAGCTAGGCTGACGCCACAGCACTCGCCCCAGGCAAGAGAGTGAGACTCTGTCTCAAAAAAAAAAGAGCAGGTGCTGGAGCTCCTTTCACCTGCAGGGTCCCTTCCACAACCTAAGCGGTCATATCCAAAGCCCTCATTGACAGATGAGGAAACAGGACGTGGCTGGTCCATGGTGACACAGCTCTGTATGATATGACTTCCAGCAGAGCTAAGGTTAGAACCCAGGTCTGCTGACACCGAGTGCTTATTACACACTTGATTTGCTACAGTTCAAAGGAGGCACCATTGCCGTGGGGATGGTCCTGGTCACTGGCCAAGGATAAGCCCATCCCTGCCACACGTTCTAGCCCCATTTTGCAGAGGTGCTGTTGTCCTGCCCTGTGTCTCGGCCCTAGCTGCCTAACCTGAGGACACTCAATGCTTCCTTCCTTGCCGCATCCTCCAACTGGAGGCCTCTGAGCCTCCCTCTGTGCCTTGGGCCCTGAAGCCCCACATGTAATATAGAGCAAAGGTGGCCCCTGGTGGAGAGGGGAGGGAAAGGCCCTTCGCCTCAGGGCCATGTCTGGGTTCTCCATGCCCACCAGTATCTGCAACATTTTTCTACCTGCCCTAGAGCCAAGGCCCACTGTGAGCCCCTGCCCATGATCCAGTTCCCTGTCCTCATCAGCCACAGGGTGGCTCCCACTGCCTGACCCTCTGTCCTTGCCATCTGTCCACATGGTCTCCAGCTTATCCCAACCCTGACCTATATGTCAGCCGTCTCCCAGGGGCAGGCTCCAGGTGCTGCTCTGAGGTTAGGGGCAGTGGGCTGGGCCTGGCCCCAGAACCAGGGCAGCTCCTGCCTGCTCCTTCACTTTTGTAAAGCCAACCCTTTCACCAGAATAGCATTAACTCCTGGTGCTTTGTACTACTGGTCCAGCTGCCTTGGGCTCCTTTTCTATATTAATAAAGAAATGAGTAAAAACCACCAACAGTGATGATGTTTAATATTGCTCTGAGCAGAGTGCTGGGTGGCACTGAATTCACAACAGCCATGTGATGCCTGAGTCAGAGATGGGCACCCTGAGAGGTGCCTGCTTACCCACCACTCCCTTTCCTGTCAGTGTAGTATTTGCCCTCCAGACCCAGCCCAGAGTCCAGGTCAGCACAGGCCCTCTCAACCAACCCGCTCTTGACAGACGAGGAGCCCAGATCCAGAGTGATGGGGAAAGCCCCAGTTCACAGAACAATTGGGCAGAACTGGGTGCTCCCTGCTGCCCATTAAACACCCTATCTTCCTAAGTGTAGGTGGGCCTGCACATGTACTGCTCCCTACAGCCTGCCCTCAGAACTCCTACTCATCCTCTGGATCCCAGCTCAAACTTTCCTTGTGCGGGAGGGCTTTCCCTGACTCCCCCAACTAGAATTGGACCCCCTGTTCTGTGTCTCCATGGTATGCTCAGCTGCCCCTTTTGTAAAGCTCATAAACTTGTGGCTCTTTATTTAATATCTTTCCTCCCCAGACCATTAGCCACGTAAGGACAAGGGGCATGTCTGACGCATAGTTCATGTCCAATGAATGTTTATTTTGATAAAACCAAAGGAAGTGAGATGTGCTAAGTGCTCATAAAAGTGTTCAAAGCATCACCAACACTGCCTGCTCTGTGCTGGCTGAGTCCAGCTCGGCCCAGAATTCCATAGCTCTAAATGGCACATAATACTCCATACGTCCCAGTGTATGAATGAGTGAATGAATGGGCAGACAGATGGACGGGACTCCTCCTGGGTATAATTACAAAGGTCTGATCCATCCTAGGACCTGTGTCTCCTCTGAGGACTGCTGTATGGAGGGGAGGGCAGGCATTTAGAGCCTACTACATGCCAAGCACTAGGGCTACAATAGTGAAGAAACACATAGTCCCTGCCTTTATGGGAAATTAAAGTCTACTTGGAGAGACATGCCTCCCGTGAGAGTTGGGAAAGTCTCCTGCAGAAGTGATGACAGCTGACACTGAAGGCAGGGCCGGGGAAGGGGAGGAAGGAGTGTCTTTGGAGAGAAGGGTAGGGAGGGTGGCTGGGAGATGAGTCTGGGGAGGTCAGTAGGGACCAGCTCAGCAGACCCTCTGGCCACATGAAGAATGTTGTGTTCACCCTAAAAAGCAATGGAAAGAAATAAGTGAGGGTCAGGGCAGGGTGGGGAGTGTGATAGAATCAGACTGAGATTGGAACAGCCACTCTGGATGCTCTGTGGAGTACAGACTGCAGGGAGATGAGTCCCTACCCACAGGAGAATTTTGAGGCTGCTATAGTGGTCCATGCCAGAGATGCTGGGAGTTTGGACTTGGCTAGTGGCTAGTTGACACAGAGAGGAGAAAGATGCAAGAGATGTTTAGGAGGTAAAATCTAAAAAACTTAATGTTGACATTGAGTGACACTACCACCCTCTTGAATGAGCTGAGTGAGGCAGTGGATACCAAACCTCCTCACGTAACAAAACAACCTGGAGGTATGTTTTTAAAATATAGATTCCCTATGCTGTATTCCCCAGAGTGTGATTCAGTAAATATGGATGGAATCTGACCAGGAAATCGTCATTTAAACACATTCCTAGCCGATTCTGATGCCCCATGACTGCAGGTACTGGTCTAAGGGACTCCGTGTCTCTGACACTTGACCTAGAAAGCCCATGTGGAGTAGGGCCCATGCCCCCAAAAGTTCATTCTGCTTGCTCCAAAATCACTTCTCTGGGAGGCTGCACGACATCTTGGCCTTATTTTCCCAAACTCGACACGAGGCAAATGCATTCCTCAGGAACAGGTGCAAAAAGAGTCTGAGAAAGGTCACCCAGAGTGCCTTGTTTATACTACCAGGCCCACGTGGATGGACACATGCCAGCACACACATTCCAGTACGGACAAGCACACGCACACACTGCATCTGACGGGGCCGTTCCTAACATTCCCAGGGCTGAGACTAAGAAATAACAATGAACATACCATCTAGTTGGCATCATTCCTGGTGAGCTCTAAGGACTTGGTGACAATTCAAGCCATAAACTTGGGCTCCTCAAAAGCCTAGCAATTTAAAAGGAGAGATTCCACAGATAGACATACAGGACTGTGACTCAGCTTAAGGCCCAAGAGGTGCTGCACTGTTTAGTGACTAGCAGGAAATGCGCTAAATTTAACTTTCCTCTCCGGATAGACACCAAAATACGTGTGCTAAAAAGGCAATCTGGTTTCATTACCAAAGGTTGGTGAGATCTTGGTGAATATTTCTCTTTACTCTGACACATCACCCTGTAAGCCCACAATTGCAGGTACAGTTCATAGTCAGATAGAAAATAATTCCACTATTAGCTGATAACAAACAAACAACGTCCAATGAATGGTGCAAAACATTATGTTTCTTATCACACGACCTTTCAATTCATATGGCCGCCTCCTTGGATGGGGCCTGGAGGATCCTTTCTGGTCTCCCTCTCTGTTCTGTCCTTACTCAGGGTCCCGATCTGTCTTACAGAAGCAAGAAAGAGGTGAGATTTTAAGGGTCAGTCCCAACCCCATCCTGGGAATATCTCAAGATAAACCATTTCTCCTCTTACTAATACTGACTGTTTTTCATAGCGTAAGTTCAGCATTATTATGCCAGAAAGGTCTTTGTCACCATCCTACTAAAGATCACGCTTCACTAGAGCTGAAGAGGAAAAACAGTCACAGTCTCCTAGGCAGAATACTAAGGAAGATTCCTGGATGCCAACAGGTGCCCAGAGTCCTTCTCTCAACTCAGGAAAACTCATGCCCTTGGTTGGTGACCCTGCTAAAGGGCTGGGAGGTCCTCAGGCCTCGCCTTGCTAAAGGTTGGTTCCCCTTCTTCCTGGAGTGTGTTCTGAGGCCTGAGGTAGAGTTCGTGATGATCCAGCAACCCCATATTTTAGTTGACACACATGAAAACAAATTACACACTCAGAAGAAACCTGGGACATGCTAGCGGCTGAAGAGGACTCTGAAGGACACGGGGTAGGGCTGCAGATGAGATTTTCATCTCCTCAGTTTGAAGAGTCTGACTTTGGAAAAAAGGAGAGCACGTGACCAAACAGCTGACAACATATACAGTGTCCAGGAACAGGATTTTTGGGAAGGCTCATGACTTATGATAGAAGACTTATAGGCTTCTGATAAATTATGAGGTAACTAACACAAAAACTGGGCATCATGTACTTTCTAAAACTTTCAAGGAAAGAGAAAATTGTGCCAAATACAACTGCAAAACCATGTGTTATATTAATAGCAGTAGTTTCCTACACAGGTCTGCAGACTGGAGCTGGTTCAGGACAAAGTATTTCTGGTCTATAATAAAATAATACTTTTTTCAATATTTTCAAATTCTGAAATTATGTCTTTTCTAACCTTCTCAGCATTAAACTATTCTTTCATGAAAAGATTCTGATAATCTATTGATCATTTTGGGGAGGTGGAAGGAAATGTCATTTTTTGTTGCCAAACATATCAACGTCAGGGATTTTTTTTCCTGTATTTTTAATTAATATTAGTAAAATCCTAAAGTCTGGGAAGTGCTGTATTGCAGAAGACCAGAGTGGGAGAGGAACTTGAATTTTAGATAAACAGATCAATCATATGGATTTCATGACTGGGGATGACTGTGGAAATATAGGGTTGTTCAGAGAAAGCAGATCTAATTAAAGGGACTCAACATTAGCATGAACCACAAAACTGAAAGTGGAAGTATTTGGATGGGGCTAAAAGAAGAAACAGGAACAGATGTTAAAAGGACATGGATGATGC